GGATGTATGGAGACAAGGGCCATCAACAAACATGGATTCTTAAATAAGATGGTAATTGCGATTAATGAATCTTTTTTGTAGACAGTCATTTTTGAATAGGTAATTCGTAAACTTAGGAAACTAATCATTAAGCCCGTGTGGTAGAAGCCTATATGATGGCGTGCAAATAATGTAATATCATTTCAATGTGAGCAGTAAATTCTGAACGTAAAGTTTGTAGTAAAAGTACTTATACTTATAGTCCCTTAGTCATGTTTAATGTGGTTAGGGATGTCCCGTTTACTTTCATCGGAGTTAATTAAATTGGTCTTTTGAACGAGTTGGAATCCCAATCTACCAAGTTTTCAGTAGCTTATAATTGTCTTTCTACTTAGTTGGCTTTTGTGTAAGCTAGCGAATTGTTGGTGAGCGATAAGTACCTTCTACTAATACTGTATACTAGTGTGCCTTATTCTTCGAGTGAGTCACAAAATTATTACTTCATTTAGCGTAGAATTCCGTGGAGAATTCGAACCAAGCAGTTAATAAAATAATACATAACAGTGAACTAAGTGATTGTCCTAGTATTCACTTATTAAAAAAAACCTCAATTTACTTTTTTTGATTCTAGCATGCATCCAATATTAGATGCTTTAAAAATAAATATTCATTGTGTATACAGAAGATTAGAAAATTCTGTGCTTTATTTTAAGTAAGTTTCTCAATTCATCAACAGATTTATAACTCAATTTTGCCCAATATCGTGAAGTAAGCATAAATCTAATTACTGTAACTATTTTCATAAAATTTACGTTTCTGAAGAAACATCCTTTAGAAATTTTCTTTCACCCACAACCAAAAGATCGTCTTTGTATTGATAAGGATTCGCAACTCAGGTGGATGGTTTTAGTGTCACATTTCCTAAGCTGGGTGGTTTAGCTTCCTTTGTTTCGAAGAATATTAGGGCTTACTTAGAATAGATGTTGTTTTGCGACCATTTTGAATTTTTTCACTAAAATAAAAGTCCGCATCATTCAACGATTAATGCCGTTACATTTCTGTTTAGTTAGTAGTACAGCTTTCGCAGTCATATCTCGTCGCCACAGTTTAATTACTTGTAACATTGGTAGCTGACTATTATCTCGTCATTCGGTGATGATGAGATATCGATGATTAAATGTCCTGTCAATATGTCGGCTGGTACAGCTGAACTCCGTTGTCAAGATATTAATTCTCTATTGAGACGATACTGCACGAAAACAAGACATCTTTTGGGTAATGGCATGCACTACGTAAGTCTTACTTACTTACTTACGCCTGTTACTCCCAATGAAGCATAGGCCGCTGACCAGCATTCTCCAACCCACTCTGTCCTGGGCCTTCTTTTCTAGTTCCATCCAATTCTTGTTCATTTTTCTCATGTCTATCTTCAATTCTCGGCGTAATGTGTTCTTTGGTCTTCCTCTTTTCCTTTGACCTTCAGGATTCCATGTGAGGGCTTGTCTTGTGACGCAGTTGGGTGGTTTCCTCAATGTGTGTCCTATCCACTTCCAGCGCTTCTTCCTGATTTCTTCCTCCATTGGGATCTGGTTTGTTCTCTCCCACAGTACGTTGTTGCTAATAGTGTCCGGCCAATGGATCTGAAGTATTTTGCGTAGACAATTGTTAATAAACACCTGTATTTTCTGAATGATGGCTTTTGTAGTTCTCCAGGTTTCTGCCCCATACAGTAGAACTGTCTTGACATTTGTATTGAAAATCCTGACCTTGGTGTTGGTTGACAGTTGCTTTGAGCTCCAGATGTTCCTCAGTTGTAAATATGCTGTTCTTGCTTTTCCGATCCACGCCTTCACATCTGCATCAGATCCACCCTGTTCATCAATGATGCTGCCCAAATACGTAAAGGTTTTTACATCTTCCAAATCGTCTCCGTCAATTTTGATTGGATTAGTGCATGCTGTGTTGTATCGGAGAATCTTGCTTTTCCTGTTGGGTATATTGAGACCTACTGCTGCTGAGGCTGCTGCCACACTGTTCGTCTTCTCCTGCATTTTTTGTTGCGTTTGTGATAGAAGGGCCAGATCATCTGCAAAGTTTAGATCGTCCAGCTGCGTCCTAGATTTCCACTGTATCCCGTGCTTTCCTTCAGATGTTGACGTCTCCATGATCCAGTCAATCACCAGGAGGAAGTGAAAGGGTGAGAGAAAGCAACCTTGCCTAACACTGGTCTTCACTTCGAACGACTTTGTCAACTGTCCTCTATGCACGATTTCGCAGTGTAATCCATCATAGGAATTCCATATGATATTGACTATCCTCTGATGCACGCCGCAGTGTCGAAGAAGTTTTCATAGTGTTGTTCTGTCCACGCTATCAAATGCCTTTTCGTAGTCAATGAAGTTGATGTAGAGTGATGAATTCCATTCAATTGATTGTTCCACAATTATCCGTAGAGTTGCGATTTGGTCTGTACACGATCTATCTTTACGGAATCCTGCCTGTTGGTCACGAAGTTGGGCATCTACGCAGTCCTTCATCCTGTTTAACAATACCCTGTTGAAGACTTTTCCCGGTATTGAGAGAAGAGTGATGCCCCTGTAGTTATCACACTTGCTGAGATCGCCTTTCTTCGGTATTTTGATCAGAAGTCCTTCTTTCCAGTCTGTTGGTACTTGTTCCTCATCTCAAATCTTATTGAAGAAAATGTGGAGTATCCTTGCAGTTGCCGCTACGTCTGCTTTTACTGCCTCTGCTGGAATGTTGTCCGGTCCTGCTGCTTTGCCACTCTTGATTTGTCTGATGGCCATGCTGATTTCTTCAATTGTTGGTGGGCCAACATTGATTGGGAGGTCCGTGGGTGCTGCTTCGATGTTGAGTGGGTTCAGTGGAGCTGGCCGATTCAAGAGTTCTTTGAAGTGTTCTACCCACCTGTTTTGTTGCTCTTCAATGTTGGTGATTACCTTGCCTTCCTTGCTTTTCACTGGTCGTTCTGGTTTGCGGCGATTTCCAGAGAGTTTCTTTGTCGTGTCATACAATTGTCTCATGTTTCCTTCTCTTGCAGCCTTTTCCGCCGTCGTTGCTAAATCTTCCACATATTTACGTTTGTCAGTTCTGATGCTCCTTTTCACTTGTTTGTTTATTTCCGTGTATTCAGCTTGTGCCTTGGCTTTTTCTGCTCTTGTTCGGCTGGTATTGGTCGCTGCCTTCTTGTTTCTTCTTTCTTGAATCTTATCCAGTGTATCAACAGTGATCCATTCCTTGTGGTGGTGCTTCTTGTGACCCAGGACCTCATGACATGTTGAAGTGATTGCCTCTTTGATCCCTTTCCAGTCGCTCTCAACAGTAGTTCCTTCTCCATTGAGATCATGAAACGCCTGGAACTTGTTGCTGAGGTCTATCTTGAATTCGTTGAGTTTGTTAGTATCCTGAAGAAAGGCCGTATTGAACTTTTGTGATATTGTCCGCCCCGTTGTCCAGTGCTTCTTGAGTTTCAATTTCATCTTGGCGACCAGTAAGTGATGATCTGATGCTATATCAGCTCCTCTCTTGGTTCTCACGTCCTCTATAGTCCTCCTGAACGTTTTGTTGATGCAAATATGGTCGATTTGGTTTTGTGTAGAGTGATCCGGTGAAGTCCATACTACGTAAGTCCAGGAAACTTAAAACGTAATTACATTTTTTCTAATTTGACACTTTCCAATTTCACTACTCATTAGCGATATTCCTTTTTTTTTCTTTTAGTCTTACAAGTAAGAACGTACATATGAACCCAAACGAAAGTCAATTAATGGCTTTAGTGATCTTATTCCTCATGGCAAACGTAGAACCTGCTTTGACCCAACTCACAAATGACGAATGTATAACTAGATTTCTAAATTCAATAAATGGACCGTCTTTGTTACTGTTTAAAAATAAGATCATAAACCAGGCGATGACTATGTACCGTTATGATTCGGATGACTAATCTATTTCAGAACCTTAATGCATCAAAGGACTTATCCCTGTTCCGAAATGTTGGATTTTTTGGTAGCCAACAGCTTCATGTTTGGCCCTAAACATTCACATCGTTTTATGACAGATGTTAGCTAGAGGAAAAAACTGATATGACAAGATCTACATTGGCAAACACTGAACTTGGTGGTTAATGCAGTTGTAAAATAGTAAATATTTTATAACACAAACCAATATTACTTTCTCCGTGTACATGTGCTGCTCATTACTTTTGTACAACAAATAATTTAAATAAAAGTGATGAGAGATTTTTGTAATTAAGATATTACTAGCGCTGCAAAAATGACCAACGTTTATGGATTTTAGTAACGATCTAGTAAAGTACTGAGATGTTTCACTAATGTTAATCGCTCTATTTCATTGTCACATTTAGTACTACATGAATCCTATACTACTTTTTTGTTTAGATGTATAGAATAGTATTATTTTAAAATATGCTTATAATATTCTACAGTACTGCGTATTCAGATGATATGCTAGATGTTATACTACTTAGAAAACTGCACTTATTGGGATGATCGAATTTCCCAGTTAGAGTGTAGAATATGAAGAAATTATTTTAATTGTAAATAATGCTTAAGATCGATTCGCTTAAGATTTGCAAGGTTAAGACGTAAGCACAACAAAAAATTGACGTCTCAACGGTGTTATGGGAAGCAAATATCCTTGATATAGGTATCCTTACCAAGGTGTGGCTTGGTAGTTTCGAATAAATTGAGCATTGGGTAGATTGTTATAAATAAATTAATATATTTGTAATATCCCAATGAGCAGGAAAATTAGATTTTCTGATGTTTCGTGACTCAGTGTAAGCCACTTCTTCGGAGAACAAATAACTCATTGTGATGTTACAAATATATTAATTTATCCTTGATATAGTTTCTACATAATGATCGAAATCAAATGAACAATTTCCGTAAAAGAATCTAGCCTTATTCGTAATTGCGTATTTTTAAATTGTTGGTTGAGCTTCGAATGCTAGATTGCCTTTTTTTCAAATAACACTTGCCCGAAAAGCGAAGTATGATTTATTCTTAGCGAGTGTTTCACCTCGCAACGCAACAAATACATCTATTATACCTACGCAGCAATTGGCCCTTCTTACTTTGTGAAATACACATTACAATTTTTGTAAATGTACGAGTTATACTTCCTATCAATACATCTCGTTATGTTGAGTGCGTTTTGACAGGTTTTAAGAGAATATATACAAATATCATAATGTTTAAGCAACTGGATCGAGCGGACGATTGAAACCTCCACGACGATTCATGTACTGACGATACTTTCGCTGTTTTGCTATGTTTGCCACATAAACACTGTTACCAATAACATGCTTTCCTTTTGTTGTGCCGAAATTGCAGAAACCCATAGTGCGCATCATTTCTGCCTCCTCTTCGGTTACAGGTTCAGTTGGTTCTGCTAAAAAGGTGATGGAGTTTCAAGAACAACCTACCCTCTTCATACTCCACGGTTTCTGTTTCAGCTGTAGGCATGGGGCTCCTAGAGTGTGTACGACGCTTCCATCTTTCGTCGTTATGATTTTGTTCATGTCTTCGTCGACTATCACGGTCTCTGCGTTTTTCTTTTTCATGTCGATATCGGCTTCTTTCTACATCTCTTTCATCACAATCGTATCCGTGGTCGCGATCTCTTCGATGGTAGTCTTCTCGGTGTTTACGAGAACGCTCACAATTATCATTACGATCCCTGTATCGGTCATGAGATCTTGATCGAGGGCGTTTGTCATAATCTGTCGATACAAGAAAAACACTAGATTATATGTTATGTGACCATATTCCAGATTATATTTGTCTAGAATTATATAGAAATATATAATGTCTTAGAGGGCAGTTGAACTTCAGTGATTCCTGACTTAAATTTGAGTGACCACAGTCTTTTCGATAAGAGAGTGAGATAGGGGGTGTAGAGCTTGGACAGCTTTGTAAGTGCAAAAGGCCTACTTAGAGGAAACACAAAACACGCCAAACTCAATTACTTGTGGATTAGAATACTAGAATTGAGGGTCTGAAAGTTTGGTATTTTGCGCTTCAAAATAATATCAGAACCGATTACAACAAATATGTCAATTTAATAGTTGTATTCATGAGTGGATTTAAGCTAGACCACCACTGAAAACATTGGAAGGTCGACTTGTTCTAGTATGGGACTCCTCAAGATGTTCTAGTGAGAAGCCGCGATCAGTGGAGTTCAACCGTTTTCGTTGTGAGGCGGTTACTCACCGAAAACTGGTGGACGGTCGCGCAATATCGTGGATTGGTTGGAGTTACACATTAACACCGTTGGCTGCCGCGTCAGTGGTCTAGACATTAAGCATTCGTGCGCGAGATCTAATGTCCTGGGTTCGAGTCCCACGTGCGGGACCGTGGGTGCACACTGCTGAGGAGTCCCATACTGCGATGAAACGTCCGTCCAGTGCTGCCAGGTTTTCAATGATAGTCTGGCCTTCATCGACTAATGAATCCAACTATTAAATCAATACTATATCAATGTAAGGGCATTTCTTGATGCTATTCACATCAAAGTTCAATATGAATATGCAAGTGACGATATGTTATCCAAATTCATTTTTCGAAAGCTTGCACAAATATGGTAGTCCGTATAACCATGATCGTTAAGTTTGCAACATTCAGATGGAAACGGAGAAGTGATATAAAATTATTCTTACCACCTGCTTAACATATAGCGATAATGATGCACAAGTTCGCGTTTCCGTCTACAGCCCTGCTTGAAAAATTCTAAGAGTCAATATAAATGACTATTTTGAAGTACACCTGTTCAAAATAAACTTGTTATATTCGAAGAGTCACTAGGTGTCACTGAAACTAGGCTTCTGAACTACTTCTTAAAGTAATTAGTGATGAAATTGATATAGTCTATGACTTTTTGGACTCAGGTAAATACACGTTGAAGTAAAAAAGAAAGAATCCTAACGTCAAGCTAATGTTCTGAGTGTATCAACGGGAATAGTTCAATGGGATCGGTAGGTTCGGTTGATTAATAGACAACGTAACATTATGATTGGTTTCTCGTGCACGACAAAGCTTATGAAAGGAGCGAGCTGTTTGAAATTCATATGCTAAGAACAGAGCCTAAAGATGAAGTTTCCACTGAATCTGATCAAATATTTGCAAAAACTAGTCCCGAAACAATTAAGCTAAGGAATTCGCTTAATTGACTAAAGAGGCTTTTGTCAATCAGTGAGTGAGAATGTGATTCAAGTGCCGACTGGAAAACTGGCATGCAGAGAGGCGCTATACAAATTTGACGGTTGTTCAATACAAGTTAACTCGTGTTTCATACATAAAACCACTCTTGGACAATCCCAACTAGTTAACGCAAGTGCATCGAAATATGCCTGCATGGGTGGTAGACACGCAAGTTTGAACAGCCATTCCTATTCTTAGTTCATACCAAAGTTGAGTAATCAATTAAAGAAGGCCAAGGCCGAACGCTGCTCGCTTTAGACCGTCTTAAAATGGTACGAGCGTTATTAATAACTACGCAAATGTAGAGAGATGAACAAGGATTACTGTCTACGTAAATCGTGCAATACGAATTGGAGGGAAATATATATCTAGGTTGTAAGCAGTTGTTTGAATCAGAACCAATTCTGAAGACAATTTCTGGTGACCGTGTTGTTATACAATGGGAGACCCAGGCTCTCCCTCCGAAGTCCTACAGTGGCTTAATCATAATATGTAAGGTATCAAGAACTAAAATGTGAGTGGGTACAGTCTTCTTTTAAGCGAGTCAACATGACTGTGTGATTACAGAGGGAGAGCATACTTCTAAGTGAAGTGATAGCTTAGTGGTTATGGTCAACCATTAGGTCGCCGCTTTTATCTTAGTAGTCTAGTAGTACTATTGGCTATTAAACCACATGTAAGAAGTTGACTACACTAAATCTGCACTTGACATTGGGATAGAAATATTAAAATATGAGAGGGAATAGAATATTCATGTACTTATTACCGAAGTGATAGTATATCAGGCATTTCCGACCCGGAAAATGCAATCTACACGATTAATTATCGATAATAAAAGGGTGAGACTGTAATTTATGGAGGAACCAATCAGATTTGCGATAACCATTCTTGACGCGAAACTAATTCCGTCATCTGGTTAGTTTTGGCATTATAACTGACGTCAGCTCGTGATTAAAAAGCTTTATTTAATTCCTAACTTTAACTATCAACTGTAAATATTAACCCTAATTCCTTACACTTGTTTATAACCCTCATATTGCCGTAGTATGTAGGTGGATATTCTCAAGGTCTGTATAGCGTCGCTCAGAGGTCGTCCATAAACTAGTCTCGCCGGTAAAATACTAGAAGGTAAAATGAAAGCTTATTGATAAGACTGTAGTTCACATGTTTTGAAAATCTGAGTGCCATACACAGCTTTCAATTTTTTCGTTATAAAATACATAAACACGAACCCATTAAAATGACTGAGAACTGCAACTTAGCACTTGAAAATGAGATGTATAACTGAAGTCACGTTTTTTGATTTTATCCCAAGACTTCACGATAGTATAAGAAGACCAATAAAATATATTCCGACACACCTCTTGGCATCCTATCCCACAACTTTCTTCCTTGGCGGGTCTCTGAAGGTCAAAATCCACAAATGACTCATCTGATTCAAACAGTTGTGAACGATATAAAAGATGCAAATGATATTATTAAGTAGAGGCCTAGAAACATGAAAAAAGATGAACAACTGATAATATGTACAATATCCAAAATTGTTGACACGAACTTGTATAAACAGATTGATTTCTTTGCAATCTTTTCTTGTTGTTTTAGTACTGTTCCAGTTATTTGGTAATGTCTAATGGGCGGTAGTCAAGCAACTCGATGATATTAACTCCATTCAGTTTTGTCGGCTTGTATATTTTGTAACTCGAGTGCATTTTACTCTGGACTGTAGGGTTTCTGGTTACCAGAACCTATCACTGTTAGGTTGGTTGACTGTTCCGTAAAAGTAATAAAGTGAAAATCCGAATGTTAGAAGATGGTTGTTTCAGGCAATAAATAAATGAATCAGCAACTTAATTAATTGGTGATGTGGACATTGTGAAAAGACCGACGTTTTCGAATAAAAGGAGAAACGAGAAAAACAATAAGCGAGATACGATGTAGTTAATGATATGTAGTAATGTTAACAGTAGTTGAATTATGAGACAAATCAGGCACAGTTGTTCGAAGTGGGAAACTGGCGCTCTCAGATCATTGTTTGTTTTTCTACCGCTCTTAAACAACAATCACGTGTTGGAGCATGTCTTCGTAAGCTTTATTCTTTGTCCCTATCACCCACTCAGTTGCCTATCTTTGTACTTGGTCCAAGAGATATGTATCTATTTCGAAGAGAGATTATTGGACAAAACTGTAGACTTCAGAATGGAGTTTTATGTAAGTTTCATAATGAGGTAAGGACACTAATTCAGTGAATATGCCAAGTTGTCATTGCTTAAAGCACTGAGTTCAATTTGCGTTGCCTGCATTTTCGGTGTATTTTGAGTTGGTGTCCAGGTTCTTTGTGATCATTAGCTACAGACTGTACTCTGAAGAAACAAACGGGGGTAAATTTCCACAAAGGACTGTGAAGCTCCTGATGTCGAGACCCTGCAACTTATGTGCACTCTAATTATCCTAAGACGAAACATACTATACTTTAGGTAGTTCTGAAACTAAGATAAAAGTGGATTAGTGAAACCTATCTTTTCAACGTTTCATGTTTCAGATTGGCCCGATAAATTCAAATCCAAATGAAAGTATTTGTTCTCCCAGTTTACGTCATAGACCTTTTACATTTTTATGGAGGCACTTGATGACTTATCACCTGCTGGTGGATTCTGGCGGGACAAGAGTCCCTGTTGTCCTGCATCGCCGGTTGTTGAAAGAGGTCAAACGACAATGAGATTTGTCATTTTCAGCTGCTCCCCTGATTTCTTTTCGATCTATTAGCCCCTTAACATCTGACGTGACTTAAACCATTCTTTGAGCTCTACTAGGCCTAAAGAGCCGTAATAAGATAATCTCCGTTTCTAAGGTTCATAGCTATCGAACGCGGAGATTTATTGTTTACCGACCCTGGAGGTTAGTTGTGCTAATTGTTCTAATGGTGTGAAGGCCTATACTTAGTGTTCTAGTATGCTTGCTGATCTCTTAACGGTATTTCTTTTGGCCCACGGTTTGTTGCATCTAGCGTGTGCTGAATCTAAAATTACTCGTTATGGGTGGAGGTTTACTTTCATTGCATTCTAGCTCTGGTACTGATGGCTAATTGTGGTTGGATTTGCATTCATTCCAAGCACTGTACAAAATATTTCACATGGATAAAAGACTGTCCTACTTTCTATTAAATTAAACTCTAGCAGTCGAGCATTAAATAAAATCAGAACTCTTTATCCAACGTCCTCATACTCAATGTTTAGCGTTTTGTGGGCGTAAGGAAATCTCGAGTCTCTTCATGAATATGCCCCACATTATGTTTATTATCTTGGAATGATGAGAGATTCTAGGCCAGGACACCAAGTTGTTGCTCACAAATTCTACCAAAAAGTATGTATCGCAAGCATTTTATTTAATGGACGAACTTTGGAACTTGCCATGGTTTATTCAAGCGATTATTTATTAAAACGGTTCAAGTTATACTGGACGGAACACTAGCAGCAGTTGCTTAGTTCACATGCCTATCTAGTAGTAGGGGATCACCAATGCCTCCAGGTGGGCACTAATGTATAATGACAATTAAAGCCGAAATTTTAAAAGAAATTATGGTTAAATACTGTATTGGATCTTTAAGAATATGTCAAGTTTTCGCTCGAAGGACTTCTGGGAAGTCATTTTGATCACCTCAGTCTGCAGTGAGCTCCCGAATCTGTGCACCTGCAAACAGCAAAGTTTGTGTCTACAGTCCATCCGACAATTTTGTGCCTTGAATATACGGGTGTTTCTCTCTCTCTTACTGAAATAAGGTCAACATTTAAGGGGGTTCTCAGGAGTTTTTATGACGCTTTAAGTTGTTAGAAGATCACCTATTAGATGCCTATACTTTGATAGTAAATATTCAGTGGTCAATTTTAAGCCCTAAAACTGAGTTCGCGTCTCGTCACTGATTACATTCCAGTGTATTCTTATTATTTCGAAGTGGGGGAAAACACTATATGTTCATACTCTAAGTGTGTTTGAATGAATCTGCCGAAGTTTTGCTATCAAACTGTTCGAAAATGCTCTTCAACGTTGCCAGCTCAGGGTCTGCTCTAGTGATATTTTTGTTTAGATCTCTTTCAACTCGGGACATCTCTACAGAGCGGTTGGCCAGTTTGAGTGAGACGTATATCATCTACTTCACCAAAAATGTTCAAGAATTCAAAATGTAAGACATCAACCTTCCCTCTGCCATTAAAGGTGGTATTTTATCCGACCACAGCTATCAACAGGTTTGTTGTATTGGAGTAACGTTTCCTGAAACTGCGCTGTTAGGGGTGAAAATACGTTTATAAACAATAAGTAGTCACTTAGAACGTCGTATATATGTGATGTAGTGGGCGGTGTATAAAATCTGATACTGATACATAATGTGCCACGCTCTAAACCAACAACTTGTAGAATTAGGGCCTGCTAAGTTATCAGTAATGCTAATCTGTCACGATGTGACTACCTTATCGATAAGATCTCAGTGGAAGACACATTGTTGTCTACTCTGACTCGTCTTGTTATAAGCATCTCCAATATATGATGGAGAACACATTTAGATTAGAGACAGAAAAATATATTCATTATGAATAGAAACGAAAAGCTACACAAGAATGACCACGCCTGCACGGCTGAGTCATGCCATCCCATTAGATCTCGAATAATTAGTCCCGCGTTCTCCATTGTTGACCTTCTTTTCATGTTAATTGTTAAATATCTAATTTCTCAGCTATCTCATGTTCAGCTTTGAGGACAATGTGGTTAGGGCAAATACCACTACAAACTTGCTGCTTGAGCAAGAACAAAAGAGTGATTGGGCACGAAAGGTCCACCGAACAAAATGTTCGAAAACTCACTCCAACCCTTAGAAAATTGACCGATTTCTTCCCATTAGGCTAATTCTGGTTGGCTATCCATATCAATAAGGGAATCTATGATTTTTGAGGGTGTTGAGAGAAGTGCAGACGTTCACTAGCCTCAAGAACAACTGCGTTGGCCATTGGATATTAGTTCACGTTTTCTGAGACGGTGCCTAGGCTTGAGGAATGTGGAAACATCAAACCAAGCTGTTTTCAGAGGTTAAAGCTGCTCCTCTCGATTTAGAATAATGCATCATATCTGAGCCGGGAGAAATGCCCATGTTTAGGTGCTGCGATTTGTGATACATCAGGTCAGCTTACAGGCTCACTCCTGACAGACCTGTGGAGTTGCAGGTGGAGTTCTTATCGCTGTTATTTTTATGTGACAGTTGAAGTGGTGGTGGGTGGCGTTATTGTCGTGTGGCTGACTCATCAATACATGACAGCCAAGAACCTATAGTTATGACTTGTCGAAGGGAGACTTTGTGACGGAATAAGCTTCAAAGTTTGGAAATAGGTTTATCGATTCACGTTATTTATTACTGAAGGGTTTCTTGTCAGGTTGCCTTTATGAATAGATTTCTTGCCTGTTTGAGCTGCTGTTGTCACTGGTTAGTTTGTATTCCACTCAATGGCGTCTCTACGTGTTAACGTTTGATGGTATTATTTTTTTAACCACACGTTTCCTGTATATTTCGAGGACCCATTGCGAGACAGACTAGTTTGTAGCACATAACATTACGTTCAGTCAGTTTCAATGAGCATTTACATCAAGTTGAGGGTAAACTTCCCAGTCTACCTGTTGTTGGTCTTCTTGTCTAGCTGACACATAAAAACGACTGAACTTTCAACGCTTGTTGCCAGCAGAATGTTTGAAACCAGTTATGCTCATTAAACCAAAGGCTTTGGCGGTAGGATCGTGTTTACTCAGGCGAGCCAAGATTGAGAAGCTGTCATTTAAGAATCCTTCGTTGGTAAATATGTAGTTCATGTGTGACAGCATTTCCATACCGAGTTGCTAAATTGACACTCTTGAAAAATGCATACATTTATTGAGATGAAGAACCGAGCACCAGTAGATTTGTCACCTCAAACGTACTTGATTTCAGAGAAATTGATTTCGAGAAGTTTTAGTTAAACGTAAATCAGGATATGAATGTATCAGAAAGAAATAGAGCTGGGAAATGTTTCCAGTATACGACTTTTCTACTAGGTCTAGGAGCTGGGTTTCCTGTAGACGACTCTAAGTAGACGTCTGGAGGTGTTAGATAATTCCATTCATGTAGGTTTTTAAACTCCTGAGTGTACAATTGGCGCTCTGTTAAGCAAGATCGTAGGTACAGAACGGCTTTGAATCACATTCCTGTCCTCCTTTCATTGGGACGTAAACGGATCCCGAGTATTTCTAGCACCTGATTCTTAATCTGGGATGCCATGTTTAAAATATTCATATCGTATTACTGTTATTAGCGTTATCTAGTTCACGCAAAGTATCCACTTCGCAGCGTTCGTATACAGACATTTGATTCCTTCAATTTGAAACAAGTGAGATTCCTTATTC